GGAGCACAGTTCTTCTCTGACACACATGGGGTCACCCCGAGTCGGGGTAGACTCGGTGACAACTGGTAGTTGCCACTGTGTGCACCAGAGCTGCCATTCCTCAGCAGTTCCACCCTCCTGACAACACAAGGTGGATCAGACAGGACGAGAAATGCAGACAGGAATCGCGAATAATGGTTCCCTGCCTCAGAAACCCAACGGCAGTCACGAGGAGTCAGAATCGACTCAATGGCAGTGAATTTGTTTGTTTGTTTGTTTGTTTGGAGCAGTGGGATAGGAATACCTGGGTGGCACAAATGGTTAAGTGCACGACTACTAACCAGAAGGCTGATGGTTCAAACCCACCCAGAGGTGCCTCAGAAGGCAGGCCTCGAAAACCTTATGGAGCAGTTCTACTTTACACACATGGAGTCACCATGAGTCAGAATTGACTTGGCGGCAACTGACAACAGTGGCTGGATTCCTGGAATAAGCAGTGGAGAAACTGAGGACTCTTCCCACCCCGACCATCCCGTTGCCTGGCCTCTGGGTAGCCCTCCCCAGTCACTGGGTCAGGTGACGACAACAGGCTGCAGAAAGACGAACACCCTCGGTCTTCCCGGAATGCCACGGAAGCAGCCTTCCTCAGCACTTACCAGCGCGTGGAAGGAAGACACGGACAAGACGCCCAACCTGCCCAGGGCCAGCTTGGAGGGGCGACTGGTGGCGGCCAGGAGACTCTTGGGGTTCGGCAACTCCTCACCTTGGAGGCTGGCCAGATAGCACCGCATCCTGAAAAGGTCCATGTGGAATTTCTCCAGATTCTGTTCCCACTGCTGGATCTGCACAAGCCACAGAGGGATTTAAATTAAAATAGGACATTTTCATGGGTCAAACTGAAAGGGCAAGCCCTTTCACAAGCTCAAGGAAACAGTCGTTTCAGTGGGAGTTGCATGGCTTCAATCAGCTTCCCCTGCTAATCCCACCTGAGGCCCTCCCACCAAGTTGTTTCATCATACAGTGGGGTACTTCATCAGGACCAGCAAAGACAAAAGCAAGCCGGTGGCCCAAATACGATGACAGGCCAAAATGGCACGATCGTTAGGGAACTTCAGCTCTGAATCATCCTGACTTAAGACACCCCCTGCAGGGCACATACGTCAGTCAGCCATTCAACTAGGTTTGTTTCTGGCCACGATGACAGCCTTTGATCCTCAGCTGGATGAGCTGATTGATACACAAGGGAGCCGGATGAATAAAGGTAGGGCCTCCGGTTCTGTTCATTTTCAGTAAATGAGTCCAAAGAGCAGCAGGGAAATGGACTTCAGGACTAAGGACAAATAAAGCTCCCACTGCAATCTTAAGTATACCAGGACAACACCAGCTGTACTGTGAATGTAATTAAAGCATACACAAGTATCCATGCAACAGAAATCCCCAAGTATGTCTTCAAAACTGACGTCATATGTTGCTAAGGAAGTGCAGGCAAACTCTGGGCTCCCCTCTCTTTCATCCAGGGAGGTCAGAGCTTGTTACACTCCAAGTGTACCTTCATGTGAAGATGAAGCAATAGGTGAGGAAAGGCACTGGAGACTGCCACCTGCTCTGGTGACAGGGATTCAAAAGCAGAACAGAGGGCGGGGCTGCAAATGGGCTTCGGTAATCCCACACTGCAGCATCAGGTCTGCAGTAAAGGCTTGTACTGGGAGATTCGACCGAGAGTTTGGTCATTTCCATTTCAACAGCTGCAACCCGCGTCTGGCCGTGTCACTTAGCATGTGGATCCTAACCTTTCACACCAAACATGCAGGCGAATCATCAATTCTGGATAAATTTTATTTCAAAAGATTCCCAACATTTAACAGTCTGTCACCGTAGTCTGTCCTCATGCATCAGAGGATTCCTGAGGCCGTCTCTACATTCTCCAGACCTATTTCTTAGGAACCACACCATACAACGATTTTTTCATTTTTCATAATTCCTAAACACTGAGCATTGTTCCTGGATATATCTTTATTAAGAAAGAGATCCCCAAAACAACCAAAACCACTGCCATCGAGTCAATCCCAACTCATAGAGACCCCCATTGGATTTCCAAGTCTGTCAATCTTTATAGAAATCAATTGCCTCATCCTCCTCCCGTGGAGCAGCTGGTGGGTTTGAACCGTGGACTTTCTGGTTAGCAGCAAAACGCCTTAGGCACTGTGTCACCAGAGCTCTCAGTAAGAGAAATATCAGGACATAAATCTAAAAAGCCAACTTCTATGTAGACTGAGCTTTCATTTCTTTTAATATCCAAATACAAAACATTAAAAAAAAAAATCATTCTACAGAGGTCTTAATTATTTTTCATCATAAAAGGAAAAATTACACACAAAAGAATTGAGAGCGAAAACTTCCATTTTTAGGCCCTGGCAAAATTGCAATGTAAAAGTTTCCTTTTTATTACCAATATAGCCATATTCGTTTAACGAGCATAGAAAGGTTATGGTTTCCTATTTAAAAATAAAAGGTCAGGGAGAGGGAAGGGAAACATGAAGTCTAATGCTAAAAATAATGAATGAATGACTCAAGTACATTCCTGCCACACCCAACTCTCCTAGAAAAATACTTTCTATCACTTAGTCACTTAATCACAGCATTTGGTCATGTGTACATTACTAGGTTTATCCTCAAACATAATTACAATAAAACCTGTGAAAGCTGGAACCTAGGTAAGACAGGAATTTCTCAGAGAAAGAAAATCAAAATGTTTTCCAGTAATAAATAGAGAGGGATAGACAAGCATTATCTCTGCATCCTGCCAAAGGCAGAAAACGTGCAAGACCCAGAAAAACAAGGCCGTCCTGGCGAGTCCCGGCTCATGGATTTCACTTGAGTCATTCTTTCTGGATAGAATAAGTGGCAAAAAGCCCATTCAAAGTTTTCCAAACATGAAATCCTGTCTTCATAGAAACAGCCACCTGGTGACACAGGTTAAACGGGAGTAACCAGCAGTTTGTTGTTGTTGTTGTTGTTAGGTGCCGAGGAGTCGTCTCCGACTCATAGCAACCTTATGCACAGTGGAAAGAAACACCGCCTGGTCCCGCACCAGCTCCGTGATCCCTGCTATATACATCGCTGCAGCCACTGTGTCAATCCATCTCGTTATGGGCCTTCCCCTCTCTCGTTGAACCTCCACCTTACCAACAATGACATCCTTCACCAGGAAATGGTCCCTTCTCATTACATACCCAAAGTAGGTGAGATGAAGTCTGGCCTTTCTTGCTTCCAAGGAGCATTTTGGCTGCGCTTCCTCCAGGACAGATCTGTCAGTTCTTTTAGCAGTCCATGGTACTTTCAGCATTCTTTGCCAGCACCACAACTCAACAGCACCAACTCTTCTTCAGTCTTCCTTACTCGTTGTCCAGCTCTCACATGCATATGAGGCAATTGAAAATACCATGGCTTGTGTCAGGAGCATCTTAGTCCTCAAGGAGACACCTTTGCTCTACAGCACTTGAAAGAGGTCTTTTATAGCCAACTTGCCCAGTGCTATAGGAGCTCTGGTAGCATAGTGCCTAAGGCATTTGACTGCTAACCAGAAGGCTGGTGGTTCAAACCCACCAGCCACTCCTCGGAAGGAAGATGGGGCAATCAACTTCCATAGTGATACTGCCTCAGAAACCCAAGGAGGGGTCGCCATGAATCGAGTCCGACTCAACGGCACACAACAACAACAATATAGGTTGTCTTCACTCTTCATCAGTAAGTGCTCTAAGTCATCCTCACTTTCAGAAAGCAAAGTTGTGTCATCAGCATATCACAGGTTGTTAATGATTCTTCCTTCAATCTTGTTGCCATGTTCTTCTTCATATAGTCTAGCTTCTTGGATTATTTGCTCAACATATAGATTGAATAAGTGTGGAGAAAGGATACAACCCTGATGCACTCCCTTCTTGATTTTTAACCATGGAGTGTCCCCTTGTTCTGTTCGAACAACAGCCTCCTGGTCTATGTACAGGTTCCTCATAAGTACAATTAAGTGTTCAAGAATTCCCATTCTTCTCAATGTTATCTACAATTTGTTATGATCCACACAATCAAATGCTTTTGCATAGTCAATAAAACACAAGTAAACATCTTTCGGGAATTCTGTGCTTTGAGCCAAGATCCATCTGACGTCAGCAATGATATCCCTCATACCACATCCTCTTCTGAATCCAGCTTGCATTTCTGGAAGTTCTCTGTCAATATATTGCTGCGACCATTTTTGCATTATCTTCAGTAAGATTTTACTTGCATACGATATTAATGATATTGTTTGATAATTTCCACATTCTGTGGGGTTACCTTTCTTTGGAATGGGTCCAAATATGGATCTCTTCCAGTCAGTTGGCCAGGTAGCTCTCTTCCAAATCTCTTGGCATAACCGAGTGAGTGCCTCCAGTGGGGCATCTGTTTGTTGAAACATCTCAATGGGTATTCCGTCAATTCCTGGTGCCCTGTTCTTCGCCACTTCCTTCAGTGCAGCTTCGACCTCTTCTTTGAGTACCATTGGTTCTTGATCATATGGCACCTCCTGAAATGGAAGATCAACCAGTTCTTTTTGGTAGTGACTCTGTGTATTCCTTCCATCTTCTTTTGATGTTTCCTGCATCATTCAATATTTTGCCCATAGAATCTTTTAATATAACAACTTAAGGCTTAAATTTTTTCCTCAGTTCTTTCAGCTTGAGAAGTGCCGAGCGTGTTCTTCCCTTTCGGTTTTCTAATTCCAAGTCTTTACACATTTCATTATGGTAATTGGCTTTATCTGCTCAAGCTGGTCTTTGAAATCTTCTGTTCAACTTTTTTTATCTTGTCATTTCTTGCATTTGCTTTGGCTACTCTCCACTCAAGGGCAAGTTTCAGAATCTCTTCTTTCATCCATTTTGGTCTTTTCTTTTTTTATCATCTTTTTAATGAACTCTTGCTTTCTTCATGGATGATGTTCTTGATGTCATCCCACAATTCTTCTGGTTTTCAGTCATTGGTGTTCAATGCATCAAATCTATTCTTTAGATGGTCTCTAAATTCAAGAGGGATATATTCAAGATCATATTTTGGCTCTCATGGACTTGTTTTAATTATCTTCCACTTCAAGTTGAACTTGCATATGAGGAGTTGATGGTCTGTTACACAATCAGCTCCTAGCCTGGTTTTGGTTTAAGATACTGATCTTCTCCATCACCTCTTGCCACAAATGTAGTCAATCTGATTCCTATGTATTCCATCTGGCAAAGTCTACATGTGTAGCTGCCATTTGTGTTGTTGACAAAAGGTATTTGCAGTGAGTAAGTCATTGGTCTTGCAAAATTCTATCATGTTATCTCCAACATTATGTCTGTCACCAAGGCCAAATTTTCCAACTACCGGTGATTCTTCTTTGTTTCCAACTTTTGCATTCCAGTCACCAGTGATAATTAATTGATTGCACATTCGGTCAATTTCAGACTGCAGAAGTTGATAAAAACATTCAATTTCTTCATCTTTTGCTTTGGTGGTTGGTGCATAAATTTGAATAATAGTTGTATTAACGGGTCTTCCTTGTAGGCATATGGATATTATCCTATCACTGACAGCATTGTACTTCAGGAAAGATCTTGAAATATCCTTTGTGATGGTGAATGCCATGCCATTCCTCTTCAAATTGTCATTCCTGGCATAGTAGATCATATGGTTGTTTGATTCAAAATGGCCAAAACCAGTTCACTTCAGCTCACTAATGCCTAGGATATATTTATGTATTCCATTTCATTTTTGACAACTTCCAATTTTCCTAGATTCATACTTCATACATTCCATGTTCTGATTATTAATG